CAGCCAGGTGAATGTCTCTTCTGCCCACCACTGTCTCCCATATTCCCTTTGTCCTCAACAGGTTTAAGCTTCAAAAGAGGTAGAATGGCTAATGTGATCTCACACATCACAATATGATGCTCCACTTACAACAAGGACCAAGGAACCAACAAGATGGCTCAGGGGGTAAAGCACTTGTCCCAGAGCCTGTGGACCTGAGTTCAATCCCCAGAAACCACATGGTAGAAAGAGAGAACCAACACCCAGAACTTGTCCTCTGATGGCCGTATATATTTTGAGGCATACGTGCACATGTGCAGACCCCCCCACACACACCCACCACACACTAAATAAATGAAAAATAAACAGAACCAATAGATATAGCTGTTCTTGTAAGAATTGGTGCCCTTTGCCTTTGTTAGAAATCAGGCTACAAAATGAAGCCAGAACTTTGACCAGGGATGGTGTGCTTCCTGGGAAAAGGGTTACTCTATGTCCCCTGAATTCCTACCTACCACTTACAGGCTCATCAGATGGGTGTTGATTCTAATGAAAGGTGAGGGTTCTATGGTAAAAATTGTTGATGGATTGATGAGGAGCTGGAAGACAAGAGAAAGGAATGCAGGGCATGAGGGCAATTTTCTCTCAAATATTAATCTGAAGTTAAAAGAAATAAGATCCCATCACAGTACCCCCAGTGAGGATGGAGTAATTACACATCTCCCTGCCTGGAATGCAGAGTAGATCTGGATCTGTGTGACATCCATCACCAGGGAGATGGTGCAGGGGCTGACTGAACAAGAACCCCTTTGCCTCTCCATACGAAGACTCTGGCTCCTTCCAACCTCACTGAAGACATGATAGCACTGTGCGAGTGCAAACCTGGAGAGCAAGACTTCAGACCTCAGCCTCTGTGGTCCAGGCATTTGTCCAAGCCCCCTGTGGGCTCACTCAGGATGGGCAGACATTCCCGAAGGCATTCATAAAACTGCCAACCAAGCAGGCCTGGTTGTGTGAGCATGAGAGGTTACTCATCCTTCTGAAGTCATGGTACTGATAAAGTCAGGCTCTTTGTGCATCCTGGATTTTAAGGATTCTGCAGAATAGTACTTAGAAGTCATTACACCAACCTGAAAACTCTACAGTGTGCCCCTTGGATGGCCTCTTGACTCAAGCACAATACAGGGACCCATGGCAGGTCACATGTCTCTCAAAACCCCAATTACAACCATCTGGACTTGAGATTTGAGAAACCTAACTCATCCCAGGCCAAGACTCCTCTGGATGGAGCAGCTGGCCTGAAGGAGAGCTAAGTTTGGTAGGGTTGGGTGTGTGACTTGATGAGGCAGAAATGGGATGGTTGATTATGTGTTTGCTGCTTGTCCTACTTTTGGGGTGCCTTGAAGTCCGAATCTGTATCTGCAGGTGGACTGGCCGGTACCAAGTGCTCAGCTCCGAGGAAGAGGGCTGCCCAGATAACAACTCGGAGTTTGGAGTCGGGAAAAGTCTATCAGTTCCTAGTGTCCTGCCAGTTGCCCTAGCAGAGCTGCATTAGAAAATAAGATCATCAGTAAGCACTGAGTAGGACCATTATGAAGATGGATAAGAAACTGCCTGGCCTTAGAAGTACAGGAAGGGACCATTGTCTTCCATGGCCAAGGGCTGAAGAGCTGTGATAGTTCAAGATTTGGCACTAACACAACACATGGGAAATTGAGATGGGGGAAGATGGGCTTGGAGGAGGAGGAGGAGGAGGAAAGAAGACAGGGACTATGGGATGATGAGAGAGAGGTAGAAGAGGGAGCGAGGTGGCTCATGCATCTCTCATGAAGTGTCAGCGATCCCTGAAGTTGAGCACTGTATCCTGAGGTGGAGATGGGGATGCTGGCATGGAGGTTGAGTCCTTAGTGTCATCGAGTGGGCCCTGGAGTCAGACAATGAAGCACTCGGTGTTGGATAGACGTCAAGGGACGGTGTCACTGAGGGATGAGAAGGAAGGGGACGAAGGGCCAGGTGATGGGACTGTTGACGATGGGAGACGGTACTTGACTGGTGGAGGGCAGGTATCTGAGTTAGGGTTTCTATTGCTGTGAAGAGACACCATGACCGTGGCAACTCTTATGAAAACTTCCAATTGGGGTGGCTCACTTACAGTTCAGAGGCTCAGTCCATTATCGTCATGGCAGGGAGCATGGTGGCATGCATGCAGACATGGTGCTGGAGAAACAGCTGAGAGTTCTACATCTTACAGGCAACAGGGAAGTTGACTGTCACACTGGACAGTATCCTGAGCCTAGGAAATGTCAAAGCCTGCCGCCGCCGCCCCCCCCCCCCGCCCCCATACACTTCCTCTAACAAGGCCATACCCACTCCAACAAAGCCATACCTCCTAATAGTGCCACTGTGAGATTATGGAGGCCAGTTACATTCCAACTCCCACAGCAGGGGCTAGTCAACTCTGAAACAAAAGGCTGGGCAGGGGGACTGCAAGGGAAAAGGTAGCTTATTATAGGGTAGGGAGAATTGTGGAATTGAGGTTGCAAGAATTTGCTTTTCAAATATGGTGGGACATATGTCTCATTTGAATACATGGAAAAGAAGACACTGGCTGAAACACATGCATCTGTTTAGCGAAAAGCTGGCACAAAGTGTGTAGCTTATATCTCGTAAGCCAGGCCATCATCTCATGTGCTGGGACTTTATAGGGATTTCCTTTTCAGAAAGTGGAGCAGTCCCTTCTTAGGGGTACCTGGAGAAGAGCTGATAAGCGTGCACACCAAAAAGAAGACTCGGTCACACATGGAATGGACGGGATTCCACATCTGACCTCTGAGATCCCTGTTGTAGTGTCTGATCAAGGTGTGGGTTCCGAGAGTCACACCTCGCTGAGTGGCTCACAAACACCAGGCATCAGACAGTGACCTGGCTGAACGCCAATTCGCTATATCTGGGACCTTTGAGGAGACACAAAATCTTGGGTATTAAGTTAATAAGCTCCAGGGTCTCCTGTAGTGTTGGCAGAATGAGGAAGAAGCAGGAAGTGGCCTGGGAAGACGCACACCCAGGTGGGCGATGTCATTAGTGTCTGAGTTTTCAAGAGATTGCCTTCCCAAGGGTGTCTCACAATTGACACCGCTGAGCCTCTGATGGTACTCAGTTCCCAGCCGTTCTCAGAAGTCTCTTTCATCCGATGCTGGCAGCAGTTCTGTGGAGGATTTTGATGGTCTTGGTTTAACTCACAAGGAGATCAAGATCAAGCCTCGGCAAGCTGAAGCCCTCTTTCCCAAGGATGCATCTACTAGGTCACCACAGACTTGGAAGACAAAGCCAAGTTCTTCCCGTATCTTCTCGCCGTTTTTTTCTGGGTGCAGCCTGGCTGGGAGAGGCAGGCAGAGCCGCAGGTACTGAAATGGTAGAAGAAGGCTTGGTGTAAAGGAAGTCCTGCCTGCCACACGGGAGCCTTTGTTTTACGAGGAGGCAGGAGGGGGCAAGAAAGGTTGCTGAGAACATCTGAGAGCAGGGAAGGGGGAGGGGGAATCCCAGGGTAAGTGCCTGCTGTGAGAGCTGGTAGGCTGGAGACACTGCAGGAGTTAGGAGGAAAGCAGAAAAGAGAGGCCATGTAAGGTAACCTGGGGAGGCTGAAAGGTGAGACCCACACTGCTGGAGGTAGGCTCGCTCATACATGATGAAAAGGCCCTGGGATACCTACATCCATATTCTCTGTCTCTGGACTAGGACTGCATCACAGGGGCAGCCAGTCTTGGGTATTTTTTTTTTTCCTTACGGAGCCTGTCCCCACACTTGAACTTCAGCGCAGAGGCATGGACCAGGCAGGAAGCCCCACACATTAGAAATTGCTTTCTCCCCCTTCTACTACTGATGTGCCCAGTAGGGTGTGGGGTGGGAGAGGGAGTTTGGGTAGACTCAGGAAGGGGTGCATTGTGTACAGAGAATTTTAAAGCAGCTATACAACTGTCTTAAGATGCTTTTCACTGTCAACCACACACAGGCAGTTTCAAACAATGGCAGTGATAAAGTATTCCCCTGCTGTTTCCTACTGCTGCTACTACCATCTCCCTGATTCCCTGGGGCTGAAGTCGGGGTAAAAATCTGGCCTGGAGCCTCCTCTGAGTAGCTCCAACAGAAAATCACACCAGCCACAGCCTTCTCTAACTCCATCCCACCCACCACCACTCAGCAGCAAACAGGAAGAGGTAGATGTATGTGTGAAACCCTGCTCTGGGGAGCATCCTCAGTAGCTCTGATTATTGCTCAGACCCTGTCTTCCTGACCTAGACTCAGTTGGCTCATATTTACCCAGTGGGAGAATGGCAGGCTTGGTATGGTCCAGGTGTCTTCTGCTGCGTCTTTGATGTGGTGTTTTCTACCTCATCCTGAGTCTACTCCCAACAGATATCTGGTCCCTAACTTAGAATATTGTGGTTTTTTTTGTTTTTTTTTTTATTCTCAAATGAATCCCTTCCTCCTCCCTCCCTCCCCCTCCTCCATTTATTTCATTGGGAGGGTGCATTATATGTGTGCCACAGTGTTCCTGTGGCAGTCAGAAGACAACGTGTGGGAATCCATTCTTTGCTTCCGTCATGTTGATTCTGTAGACTTAACTCGGGTCTTCAGGCTTGGTAGCAAGTACCTTTGGTGGCTGAGCTGCCTTGCCAGTCTTGTCCTCCATCTTTGTTCTGGCCATTTGTGACCATAGAGGGTGAGTGTGACTGATTTTCCACACTGGAAGCTTTGTCCCTGTATCATATTCCAAAGCAAGCCTTTTATTATCTCCCAACACATCCCACTAGGGTCCCCCACATCTCCATGCCGTCTATTGAGCTGTTCCAGGTCCAGTCTTCATGGTGTCGGGACTTAAACCTAGATGTGCTCCCAAGCATTGGAACACACAGCCTAACTGTAGGATTTGTTCTTAGATGCCGGTGAAGCCCCAGACCCAGTATTTCAAACCCAGTATTGAAAGATTGGCAAGTAATAGGAGAAATGTGAATGTCTTTCAGAAATCTCCTTCCGAGTGTGGATGTGTGGAGGCAGCCTGGAGATCATCCCCTGCAGCCGGGTGGGGCACGTCTTCAGGAAAAAGCATCCATATGTTTTCCCTGATGGAAACGCCAACACATACATAAAGTAAGTGCATGCCCTGGCCCAATGTGTATGGACAGTATAGCAAGGCAATGGAGGCCAAGGGTTTGCAACAGAGTCTGAGCTCTGCAGGGTGGTCTGACTTCCCTGGAGGATACATGAGTTGCAGGTCTGCAACTTGGACTCTGCATTAGAGCCAAGGCTTCCTTAGGGTATCACCAAGACTTGAGAAGCCCCACCAATCCCACCCATGCCCACCTAATTCCCTGGAACCTCAGCAATTAAAGTGCCTGATTAGATCCACCCTGCAGGGCTTTGCCTATAGGTATTGGGGAAGGGGAGGGGAAACAACTGGGTCACTCAGGGAATGATTCCTGGGAAGAAGCAAGAAATAGGAAGCCAGAGAGTATATAGAGCATTGTGCCTGCTCCAGGACCTCTTGGGAGACTAGAAGAATCCAGAGGGGCGTTCCTGATAACCCAGCTGCAGGGCTTCTCACCTCCATCAACACCCCACATAGATACAGAAGTCAGTGACCTCTTCCTTACCTGTCTCTCCCTCTCTCTTTCCTTCATACATCTCCTTCTCAATATTTCTCCTAGTTAGTTTTCTCTTGTTAAAATAATCACACCTGTCTTTTTCCTTAGGACTTAAAAAGAACTGTATGTATATGGGGTGGGGGGCGGTGCACTTGTGAATGCAGCTGCCTTTAGTGGCCAGAAGAGAGCTGAAGTTACAAGCAGTTGTACACCACCTATTGTGGTTGCTGAGAACCGATCAAATTTGAGTCCTCCGTAGGGAGGAGCAGTGCCCACTTAACTGCTGAGCCGGTCTCTCTGGCCCCTGATTGTCTTAAAAATACGTTTCTCTAACTTTCGGTTCTTCCTTTGGTCCTCTTGTCTCTTGACATCCAGTTACTTCACTCATCCACCTAATCCCCTTTCCTTTTTTGTTTTTTTTTCTTTCCTGCTGTTTGGTCCATTCATGTTGGGGAAGGGGCTTCATAGCCTTTGATTTTGACTTATTTATTAATGGTGTTCGTTCAGGATTTGTCGCACACGTGAATAGGTGTGTATCATATTCTGACACACCTGGCTCGGGAGGCATGGGTTTGAGCAGTGTTCAAATTCTGCATCTTGCGAAGCAGAGTAGGGAAGGAGAGGAGGAGGAGGGGTGAAGGCAGCAGGCTAGGGAGCATCAGGGAAACCAAGGCTGAGCCACCTCTGATTTCAGGTTTTGTGACTATAGAGGTAGTCAGGTGGCGTGGCTGTGCAGGAGCCAGAGACCACTGGATGGGGACTGGGCTGGGAAGCAGGACCCTGGCACTTCAGATGTTTATCCTGTTTGAGAATGGGCTTTTCCAGTAAGCATCCTTGCAGGCTAGAGGTGGGCCATTCTGGTTAGAGAAAAGAGGCACGGTGTTTGTAAAGCAACTTCTAGCTTGCAGATAGTGAAGTCACTTGCAGGGGCTAGCCAGGTGATCTTAACTCCTTCCAGTGCCCCCAAATGCAGTTGCCTGTGCTTACGTCTCCTTTCGGATCCCAGCTCAGAAGGGTTTGCCATGCTCCTCTATCAAATGTCTGTGCTCTCAAGTAGACCTAAGAACCTGGAGGAGCAAGCTGGTTTTAGTTAGACCCAAGTTCACTTTCTCCTAAGTGTGTCAGCTGCCCAGACCACCAGCCCTCATTATTTTCTGATCCTTCAGGGATCTTCCTGGGACCCCCTGACTGTTGAATGATGACAATCATTCCCTCTTCCTCTGCCTGTCCTTCTTCTATGGTTACCTTTAGGGTCAGACACAAGCAGATGTCTGATGAAAAGCCTAGCATACTGGCAAAGTGCTGAAAGAGATGGCCTGACTGCTAATTCCTTGCATGTGATCATTGCTTGGGCTGTGTGTGCACTGACCTTACTCTTGGGGAGCTGAGACCTCCACATGTCCCCTGTGGGAAACTGGAGGACCTCAGAGCAAGAGCTCACTAACCAAGCAGACCCAGAGGTTAGCTGGTTTTCACAAGCCCTACCTTTGTGACAGGCAGCAAATGGATACACCTACTTCTCCTGGCCCTTTTCTGCTTCTCTGAGAGTCACCAAAGTTCAGCGTCTGGTGTGATTCCTGCCCCCCATCTGTACCTTTTGGGGAAAGGTTGTTGGTACTACCAAAGTCCTGTGTCTTGGGGTGCCTTTGGAGATGGGGCTCCCTTGCTTGTGCTCCGTGTTCTAGAAACAGTGATAAGAACACCTCTGTCCTGGTGGCTGCTGCCAACTTTGCCTTTGTGTGTGTATTTCAATTGGGCGTGTCCATGGATAATTCCCAGATGAGCCCCCTCTTGAGACTCCTTTATCTCCCTAGGAACACCAAGCGGACAGCTGAAGTATGGATGGATGAATACAAACAGTACTACTATGCAGCCCGGCCTTTCGCCCTGGAGAGACCCTTTGGGAAGTAAGTGTGCACTGGCTGAGGAGGGCAGAGAATCGAGAAGGACCTCAGCTCATGGCCCATCATCACTTTAGCTGTCTCTGAAGCCTCCTCCAGGCCTAGAGTGTCCACTCTGATTTCAGATCCCTCTATGTTCTACCCTGTTCTGGGTGTGCAGGGCTTTTGCCAGCTCTCCTGTGACCCTGTGCCTAGATGACCACTCCAAGAGAGGGAACTGCATGGTAGATGGATAGTTGTTTGCAGAAAGGTAGCATGGGTTACTGGTCCCTCCAGCTTGGAATTCCTTCCTCTGCTTCTTTGTTCCTCCAAGCTTAAGCTCCACTACTTCCGTGGAGGGGGAATGTATGCTCACATATTTTCTTTAGCAGTAGTCAAGCTTCGTGGGCAAGGATGAGCGGGGAAGAAGGAATGTTTATTAAACTCTAGGTAACACTCCACGCAGAGTCTCTTTAATCTTCCCTAAGCTCTGAGAGAGGCAGTTACCTAGCCCTGTTTGACGGTAAGGAGACTGAGGTTTATGCAGAGGAGAGCACAGATCACTCCTGAAGGTTTACAACACACTGATTCCCAAACCATGTGACCTCGCACTTCCCAGCCGCAAGCTGGCTGAAGTAAGGAAGAAATTGCAATTCCCCTTAGTTATCATTTGTGTTCCTTGGGGAGGGGGCGGGGCAACCATGGCATTTCGACCTGCTGGCTCCACTCACTCATTCAATAAGGTCATTGAGCAGATGGCCTTTTGAGTTCATGCCCGCACCAGAGCATTAGATGGGAGCCAGGCAAAGTGATCTATCTGCACCTCTGACATCACAGTCCGGGCCCACCCTCCAGCCTGCTCATTCCATCTCTCCTGAGGCAGCGCATCTTGTCCACGTCACAACTCTGGGTCCACTGACCACGTCTCATCAACCTCACTTCTTCTTCCACTTCCCTCTGCACATGGGATTCCTTCCACTCTTAATTAAAGATGGACCTCGGAAAGTTTGGTCCTCCAATCTTCTGCTGTTGTCCACCTAGTAACACCTTCCCCTACACACACACACACACACACACACACACACACACACACACACACACACACACACACACACACGGTGCTTTTATATCTATCTCTTCTTCCCCTGTGCACAGGCTGCTGGGCAGTCCTAGATCACATGACCTCTCCTGGCCCTGCTCTTTCCTAACCAGCTCAAACCCACTGCTTTTATGAACCCTTCTCCACTCCCTTCCACCCCGGAGGCCACCGCCTCCTTTCTCCTGCACGGATGACATCTATTTTATGGATGAAATAGACAATATTGATTTCCCAAGACAAATCGACCCATTAGCCTAGCCACAACAGTACCATCCTTCTCGCTCTCTTTTGCCTCTGTGGACAGGTGTGCTTCCCGTATCAGGAAGCCGGCCCCTCCTCTGGATGCACCATTCATGCCTGCACTCATTCATGAATCAACATTTATCATATTCCCACAGTCTGCATTCATCTCCAGCCGGCCGGTGCAGGGCCCCCCTCAAACTTTAATGAGCACACAGATCTCCCAGGGAGCGTGTTAAAACACGGAATCTGATTCCTGAGGTCTGTGTTTCTAATAAGCTCCCACGTGACACTGTGCTGCTGGCGGAGGATCCTAATTGGAGGAGGAAGTTTCCACAGAGCGGTTCCCAAACTAACCTGACAGTGGAATTACCTGTGGAGCCTCAGAGCTCCTGCTGCCTGAACTCATTCTCCAGAGGACTGGTTTTCTTGGCTTTCAAATGTGTAGAGTGTTCAGCATTGCAGACGGGGGCACGTGTCCATGTCCAGGCAACTCCTCTCTTCACAACCTCAGTTTACCTCTCCTGTATCATTCCCTTCCACGTTTACATCTACTTCTTGACTCAAAAGGGAGGGGGTGAAAGGTAATACACTATCAAGCCTACTTTAAGGCGGCACTGCTCATCACCTCTACACCTGTCTTCTGCCTGTCCAGGACCAAGTATCATGATGTAGCGACCCACTTGTGCTGCCTCCCCCAGGCCCTGTGGCTGGCCCCACTAGGCTTAGTCCAACCCCCTCCCTTCTGGCATGCCCCTGGCTCCTAGACTTCCAGTCTTCTCTTCTGTTGTTCCTCGATCCTACGTCTTCCATCCTAACTCCATGCTTAGTTTCTTCTTCCCACCCCTGACTAGCTGGTCTTTCTCTGAGGTTCTGTCCTAAGTCTTCTTTGTACCAGACATTCTCTAGGTGATATTGCCACATCTATTCACAACTCTGTTTCTAACTGTAACCTTTCCTGGGGCTGCAGTTTCTTATGCCCAAGTATCAAATGGCCACTTCTCCCTGCATGTCTCCCAGACACCTCCAATGGAACAAGTCCTAAGCTAAACTCATTAAGTTTGTTCCTGAATCTGTTCCTCATCCCATATTCTCCATCCAACCCCACAAATAGTTTTCCTTACACCATATGTGCCAAGTCACAAGTCTGGGTATCACCCTGGCTCCCCTTCCTTGACTTGTTTGAGTCATCATCATGTCCTGAGACTGCTGCTTCATTCAAACCCCGAGAAGCCAGGCTCTTTCTGAACACAGAGCATCAGGCATGCTAAAAGCATATCGTCTTTGTCCCAGAGGAGCTGAGAGGTCTGGTGAGGAAGTGTGCCATGTGCTTTAGGAAGTTTTGAGGCTGGGGGTGAAGCTCAATGGTAGAGCAGTTGGCTAGTGTGCATGAGGCCCTGGGTTTGAGTCCCAGCACAAGGAGGAGGGAGGTTGGAAGGAAGAGGAGGAAGGGTAGTTTGGGGGAAGTCTTGGGGAGAAAAAGGGGTGGGAGGAAGGGGGCGGGGCAGGAGGCAAGGCTACCTCTATTGACTACCCATAGAGGACAAGGGTTGACTAGAGCTCAGGTGGGGTGGAGGTGAAAAGAAGTAGAGGATCGACCATGTCCGTTCCCACCCACTTCACTAAAAGGAGTGCAATGGCACCTGGGATTGTGCAGTCACCTTCTACCTGTCCTCTGCCCCCACTTCTGCTCCAACTGGCCCATTCCAGAAGCAGTGGTAAGATTTTCCTAAAGCAGATCCATGTCATACCCTGCACAGGGCCCACCAAGTCCACCCCAGTGCCCTTGAGATAGAGTCGACACTCTTGAGCAGTGCTTCACGTGGATCTCTGTGGACTCACTTTCCCCATTCTGTTTTAAGGCCACCTAGGGCAGGACCCCTGCCTCACCCACCCTTTGGCTTCTCTAGATGGCTATGCTTCCTTCCACATACCAGCATCAGTAGCCACTGTTCTCTTGAGTACCATGGACCCATCAAGCAAGAGGGTACCTCCAAGATGTCTTTATACCCTGTCTTTAGGGCCACGTGGACTATGGTACATGAATCACTATCTTATACTACTATTCTGAAGCAGTCATGTCCCGCACTGAGTGCAATGCCTGTCACATGGAGATGCTTAGTGACTACCAGATGAACAACTGTGTGATAAGACCCCCAAACACCATCCAGAGAAGAGGATGCTCTGAGGCTGGGGCCATGGGGAAGGGTATTCCAACCACAGAGGGACTGTAAGAGTCGCCCCAGAGTCCCAGCAGTGAATTATTCAGAACACACTCAGTGTTCTTGCAGCTTGGCTTTTAATGGAGATGGGAAAATACCCGCAATTCCATTTTTCAAAGAAAAGCACAAGTCCTTGGTGTCATTTCTACATCATCAAGAGACCAAGCTAGGTGCTTTCATAGATCTGTCTGGAACTAGAGAAATCTCTACTTGGTTCATTTCCTCGGTGTCCTCTAGAGATGTGTAGCTGCAGAACACGTCACTGGTGGTGGTGGGGAACTGTTGTAGATTATTGCCTCTGACGGCTGTGTTTTGTCTCCATGTCCCACCCTCCAACCTCATCATCCCAGCATTGAGAACAGGCTGAACCTGAGGAAGAATTTGCACTGCCAGACCTTCAAGTGGTACCTGGAGAATGTCTACCCTGAACTCAGGTACACCTATTGGCTGGAACCATAGCTAGCTACAGAAAGAGGCCCTTGTCCGGCTTGGTCTGGGAGAGACATGACCCATGGCCAACTGGGGGAGAGTCTTTAAGTCTATGGAAGACTGAGCAGACCGATCAGCCCTGCTTATCCTAAAGCCAGAGAATTACATTGAACTTAGTAGCCTAAGAGACTGGGCTTAGCTGATAGCAGAATCTCTCCGTTGCTGGGGGTGGTACCCTGGGCTATGCTCAGAGCCTAAGATGGGTGACATAGACTCCATCCTAGAGCTCAATCTGCTGTGTGGCTACTGAGGGTCCCTTCTGCAGCACACTAACAGCGTCCTTCCCTCCTCTGAGCAGTGCCAACCTTCGTGACAGCTTTAGGGGAGATGGCTCTGCCCTCTCAAAACACACCCTTAATCTGTCTAGCAGTTAGCAGCCACTAATGTCAAAACAAAAAAAAAAAAAAACCAAACAAACAAAAAACAAAAACAAAAAGCCAGTGTATTCTCATCTGTCCTTGTGGCTTCCTACAGGGTCCCCCCAGACTCCTCCATCCAGAAGGGCAATATCCGGCAGAGGCACAAGTGCCTAGAGTCTCAAAAGCAGAAAAACCACGAGACTCCACACCTCAGGCTAAGCCCCTGCACCAAGGTCCAAGGAGAAGAAGCAAAGTCGCAGGTACAGTAACTCGCTGTGGTCATAGCTCTCCATGCCACGGAAGAGTAGAGATGCCCAGGTTAGCCTTGGTCCCTGCTTTGGCATGATGACAGCAGGGGTCCAGAATGGAGCAGAAGGACCCTTCTTGCTTGGCCTCTGGCTTTTCTCCACTCGGTTACCAGATACATGGAATTCCTTTGGAAGATGGCTCCCAAATGGCGCCTGCCCTTAGGAAATGGTCCAGTCATTTCACGGGAACCCCAAAGAGACTGGCAGCTGTCCCCTACCTACAGGCAGTAGACATGGGGCTGGGCCAGGCAGGGGAAGTCACATGAGCTGACTCTGCACACGTGACATGCAAAGAGGAAGAGAGAAGCCTGCTGCTAGTCCTTGAGACCAGAGGCCCCAGTGGGGAGTCTCTCAGCTGTCTTCCAGGCCATCCTATCAGCTTTGCCTAAACCACCGCCATCCATAGCTCTATCCCTGGGCACCCTCCTGCTTCCCCTACGTCTGTGGATTGTTTGGGGGCTCTTTCCAAGGAAGCTTTCCTTGTTCCTTACTCGATTTGTCAACGGAGCACACCCTGTCCAAGTACCGTGTTCTGCCAGAATTCCCCCTTCTGAAGCTAGACCTGCAGTTTTCCAGGTCACTGACAAATTCACCACCTATCTCAACCTCCACAGCCCTTGGCCAAGCACAGCCATTGCCTGACTCCCCTCTCTGCCTTGTGAATCCACAGGATCTCGGCCGCCTTCTCCTCCTGTCCGAGTTCTCGCCTCCTCGCTCCTCTCCCCACCTTTGGGATGTGGACTGAGGTTCTCAGTCCACTCTTTTTTTCCCCCCCCCTCTATAAACTCTTGGAGCTATTACCTGTATTTCCAGCTTTGACCGTCTCCTGTTTATTGATTCACAAATTCTCTGCCTTCATGCATCGTTTATTCACTCAGCGGATGTTGTTAGCTCTCAAGATGCACAAGGGCAAAGCTGGGCCGCGGGAGGAAACGTGTAAGCAGCCACTGTAATCTAATCTCTGCCCGCGAGCCTTTGTCACTGATACTATAGAAACAGAGCTGTGGCATCCAAGTGTTGTGTGAGCATTGCAAAGCTGTCCCAGGGGACTTGGAAAATGGGCTTCTGTTTGGGGATGGCAGTAGAAACAGACAAGGTCAGGAAGGGAAGGGAGGGTGAGTCAGGAAATACAGCATATACTGTGACCTGGCAGGAGTATAAGGATGGGTTTTAGGGAAACTGAGGTCACAAGGTAGGGTGAGGGCAAGTAGATGTTGGGATTGGAGAGAAGCAGGACCTCAGTTACTGTCTGTCTTCTGGAGGAAGTAGGTTCCCTGAGGAAGGTGAGTTTTGTCCTCATTAGTGAGACCTCTATAAGGTCCCACTAGAGGGCTCTGGGAACAGAAGGTTCACAGTTAAGGACTCCCACCTGGACAGTAGCTCAAACACTGTGTGACTGAGGGAGTCAAACTCCTCTGTGGTTTAAACTCGACGGATGGCCCTGAGCACCCCAGTTGCCGGGCAATGCACAAGTCTCTGCATGTGTCACGCTTTGCCCTGGTGCCATGGTTCCAATTCTCACTAGTGTTTTGACCCCTCTCCCTCCCATAGTCCCCTGTGTCTGCAGCCCACTGTGTTCTCCCCAGTGGGGGAAAAAATTCTTCTCATACCCCACCCTCATTTATTCCTGCTAGCCCTCCATTTCCCCAAGACCAGCTCCGTTGACTTTGGGAGCTAGGTAATTCTTTTAAAATGTCCCCATTGAGACTTTCTGTGTTAGATTATGGCCACAGCCTCTAGGTGGTCCTGCTGCCCCATCCCTCATCCCCACTTGGTGTGTGCTCTCTAAACCATCATCCCAACATCAGCACAGCCTCCAGCGGCTCTCTTGTTTACAAGCATCTACACTCTCAGACCTGGCTCTGGCTTGAAATGACTTTGCCAGCAGCAGCAGCAGCAGCCTCTGCTCTAAACAGGGTAGAGGAGGTGGTGTGGGAGTTAGATTAGACTAGAAAGGACAGGAAATGGGGGTGTCAATTTTACTTTAGGTGTGGCTGCCCGGATGACAGTGGCATAATTTGCTCAAGTGGCACTTTGTAAAGCATCCTGAGTAGGTGACACATCTCTCTGTGAGTCTGAGTGTGGGTGTTGCTCGTGGGAATTCCAACAGTCAGAATGTTGTCTGGCCCCTTCCCTGGGACAGGATTTGCTTGGTCTATCTCCAGCTGAGCAGAGCCTTTCTGGGACTTGCCAACTTTGGTTGCATAAGGAGGTAGGAGGGAAAGCCACCAACTCTCTGGGCCTCAGAGAGGGTCCTAGGAGAGGTAGCAGAGTCATCTTTACCTGGAGGAGAATGGCCCATCCCAGCTGCCCTTCAGATGACCTTCCTGAGGTAGGAGGAAGGCATACAATGCCAGGCACTTGGGGCCATGGAGGAAAGGCCTGTAGGTACACAGTGCTCTCTCCTCGAGGCAGTGGTAGCCTGCCACTCTGCTTTGCTTTGCGATAATGACTGGTTTGCACGACTTTCAGATGCTCGATTACTGTTAACCTCCGCAAACTGGACGTGTAGCATCTCGGGTACCATATTACCTGCTGGGGAGACAAAGTGGGCTCATTCAGAATTAGACACAGGCCCCTTCTCCGAGGGTGCACAGGCCAGCAGCAGGATTGGGCTTCACTTTCAGGTACTCAGAAGGAAATCCACATAGCTATTTCAGCTAACATCATCGCTGTGAAACGAACCCATGTGTGCATCCGTTATGTATCTTTGCAGGACTGACTCGTGATCTTTTCTCTTCTTATTAGGATCCTCTTCCTCATGCCTCCCTCATAAATCTCCGTTGTTATCATCCTTCATCTCTGTCTGCAAACCTCGGGCACCAGTGGGGTTCCTTTCCCCCTAACACAGTTCTGCCCCTCCCTATCTTTGTCTCCATTACCTTTCTCGACTTGGCTTGTCAAGAGGGGGGGATCTCTACCCTCGGACTCCTTCAGCGTCTCTTCCTGCGCCCACCTCTTCAGTCACTGCGCATCCATAGCAAGAGAGTGATACAAACTTCACAGCTGATGCCACCACGGCTCCCAGAGGTTAACTGGGGTTACACACTAGTGGTGACCCCCCCGCCCCTACACACACTAACTCTATCCAGCAGTTCTCTGGGGCTTTTTTTGCAGCCAAGTCACGGTTCCAGAGCTTTATTAGATGTGTAGTCATGGGAGAAGACACCTGTGTGTGACACTCCTCTCCAAGGTTATAAATATTAAAACGGTTAACCAGCTCCATCTTGACAGGTGAAAGCTGGCAAGAGGGTCTTGGTTATAGACCATTTCCAGTGACAAGTTCTAAAGCAAAAGTCATTCCTCCGTAAGAAGGTCTGGAGTCCGTAGAGAACAGTATCCTCCCTAACATTTATGAGAGTTTGGGCAAGAGCGTGACTGGGAGTGTGTGTGTGTGGGGGGGGGTCTATTGTTCTACAATGTTCTACAAATGCCACACCATACTCGAGACACATGTTACACTGGCTTACTGCATTTGCCTGGCTCCAGTTTCTTCCCATTTCTGGCTCTATCCTACATGATGAACTCTCAGCTTTCATATTCAAGTATTATATTGAAAGCCTAGGTGTGTGTGTGTGTGTGTGTGTGTGTGTGTGTGTGTGTGTGTATATATATATATATATATATATATATATATATATATATATATCAGAGATACAGCCTACCCTGAGAGGACAAACCCAGGCATTGGATCAAGACAGACCCTGAGATCAGGCTGGAGCCACTGGGTGGGTGTTCTAGGACCCTGAATTATGGAGAATGGGACAAGGAGGTCCAAGTTCTGTCTCTAGCTGACATTCATTCGCCATGTAGGTAAAACCCAGGTATTGGGATGTCCTCATGCCTGCAACAATACTCCCTTGATTTAGTTTGGTTTGTTTTTGTTGGCAGGGCTGGAGATCAAACCCCAGAGTCTTATGGCTCTCTAACAGTGCTACATGCTCAGCATGAAGGCTATTTAACTATTTAATCTGGTAGTTCTTTTTTTTTTTTTTTTGGTTTTTCAAGACAGGGTTTCTCTGTGTAGTTTTGGTGCCTGTCCTGGATCTCGCTCTGTAGACCAGGCTGGCCTCAAGCTCACAGAGATCCACCTGGCTCTGCCTCCCTGAGTGCTGGGATTAAAGGTGTGCACCACCACCGCCCAGCCCCGTAGTTCTAATCATTGTTCTCCATCCACACCAGCCCTTCCATCCCACACCCTGCCTCACCTTTCTGCTTGCTGGCTTGTCGTCATCCTTTGGAGAAAAATGCTGAATTCCAATGTTTCAAAGATACTGGCAAACTGGTGCCCTGGGGTAATGCAAGAGGCATACATCACGCATTCGAAAAACCGGTGAAGCCCCAGAAGTGTCTAGGCTAATACTTTTCTTCTTAGCTTCACTGAAATCTCTGGAAAAAAAAATGTCCATGAAAGGTAGAAAGAAGACAGATGCTCCACTCTAGTTTCGATTCCAAATTAAAGTGAGGGAAACATAAGACAGTTTGCACTGTATTCTCCCCCTGCCCAGCCAGTGGCTGAGGCTCCCAATTTGTGGAGCAGAAGGTAGCAGCTGGGAACCCCAAGGGTGGATGTGATTGAAAGTGCTCGGCAGATCAGCAGGCACCGGGACACCTCCAGGGTCGAGATCTCAAGTCTGCAGTGGAACAAGCTGCCAGCCCATTGCCTCCTGCCCCCTCTTCCTCAGAGTTCCTCACTACAGCCTGGGAATGGCCCCTCAAAAGCGCTGTGACAGCCAGTTCTCTAGGATGGTTTCCCAAGGAGCCTATCTCTCTTGTCTCACTCTGAGTCACTGGCGTCACCATCGGAAACAGTAACCAAACCTTTGCTAAATGGAGATCACCATTCTGAATATGCACGTATTAGCCATATAGTCTATATAGTGGCCCTCTTACTAGAGGGCCTAGTAGTCTCTTCATATTGTACATGAGGTTGCAGAAGTAATTTGCCAAGAGTTTACAAAGTTACTAAGCCAGTGGGCAGTTACCCCGGAGCCCAACCCTGTGATCCAACCAAACAAAGTGGGTGTGGGACTTTACTCCCACGTACAAGTGTTTCCAGCATTGTAGGAGAAGATATGAAGGAAACAAAGGGAAAAACCTCAAGCATGAGTCGAGTGAAGATCCCAATCAAGAGAAATGTACATCTAGGAATCTGCCGGCTCACGCTGCTGCCTCCGGGCTGGGAGCCATCTCTAAGGTGGAGATGAAGGCTGCTCCTGTGCAGCCAAGGAAGAGAGAGAGCCCAGCATGGCCTGTCAGTCATTTGTGCCGTTGTAACACCCAATGCTGCCCTCCACGACTGCTCCCTGAGGGATCTTGTACTGAATGAGCGGTGTTGCTGGATCTGGTTCATTTGTTCCAGGCATCTGTCTGAAAGGAACCCTTCAAGGGCGTGTTCATGGCCTGATAGGCTTGCCTGTGTGGTCTACAGAGAACATCTGGTGGCCCTGATGTCCTCTACGTGGGTCCCATCTCATCTGAGGAGAGCTCCTGTGCAGACGTGAGCCCAGCAGCTGCTCCTGACTTTGCTCAGGGTAAACCATTGACCGCTTTGATCCTCACTTCCATGACACGGTGCTTAAGTAAACTTGAACGTGGAGGGGCTCGAACCAGCCAAGCTCTTGAAAGGCTCTAACTTCAGCAAGACCAGCAATCCTGTCTCGTGCCCACTCTGTTTTCTCCCGTGTTCGATATTCACTTCACAGAAGACATTGAGAAACACGGAACTCACGACCATCAGTAAAGGACATTGGCTCCTGCTTACTAATGACCCAGTCACCTCACGTTGCTACGAGGATTGGTTTGTGGCTCCTCACCCAACATTCCCTTGCATGAGGACGGACACACCACTCTTGGAGCTAGTACCCAAAGCCAGGGCCAGGATCTGGGCTATGTGCTCAGCAGGCATGATCTTGTTTACTCCTCACTGTAGCCCCTCAGACGGGCCGTGTGCTGTTATCACCCCCACTCGACAGCTTGGGTGAGCTAGGCCCATGGACACTAACCAGGGTGCATATGAACGATACCTAAGAGTTCAGGTGTAGGCCTGCAGACTATCTCATGATAGCTTCAGTGTGACTGTCCCTAGGACTAGATCATTCTTTGTTGTAGGGATTGTTCTGTGTCTCGTAGGATATTTAGAATTGTCCCTGCCCACCTCACTAAATGCCTATAGAACCCAGTCTTTTTTCACCATTATTTATTTATTTTTATTTAAAAAAATTTCTTGTTCATTTTACATACCATCTCCAGTTCCCCCTCCATCTCCTTCTTCCACCCCCCTCACCCCCCCACACCCGCCATCTCACCGCCCATCCACTCCTCAGAGGGGGTAAGGCCTCCCTCGGGTAGTCAACGAAGTCTGGCATACCAAGTTGAGGCAGGGCCTAGCCCCTCCCCGCTGCATCAAGGCTGAACAAGGTATCCCACCATAGGGAATGGGCTCCAGAAAGCCAGTTCATGCATCTGGGATGGTCTTAATAATCCAGAAATGTCTCCAGATACTTGTCAGATATTTCTTCAATGAGGTATAGAGCAAAGTCTCTTTGCTCTAGGCTGATGTTTTCCTGTCTGTCAGAGGATGGGGCCCTGGGTCATTCCAAGATCAGCACCTCTGCCAAGCATCACCCTCGCCCTTCCCTCTCTAAGTTCTTGTAGCATCTTAAGAAAATCTTTCCTCCCTAATTTTCCATCCAGCTCAAAACAGTAAGTCCCAGGCCAGGTACCACTGTGGTCCCTTTGCATCCCAGGTTTCCCAGCTGCAGCCCCGGGACATGTGCCCGAGAGAGAAGGCTACTGTTCTCACTGTCAGACACTGTGTTCTAGCCATGGCAGGGAGCGTGTCCTCTGAGTACAGTTTCCCTGCTCTAACAGACTGGCAAAGGAATCCAAGGACCACAGGTGAACCTCTCTCCTCAGCCCATCAACATAGAGAGCCAAAGCCATTCACATCAGCCCCTAGATGGGTCCTTGGCTTACCTTCCCTGGGGGTGGAGAGGGACATCCTTCATGAACAGCACTTCCGCCAGGCTCTAAATGGAGCCATCCATAGAGGGCCCTACAATCCTTAATGGAGGACAGATCTGGCTGAGTATTCCTGCTGCCACCTTTCCATTTATTTATTTGTTTTCTGGAGCTGGGGACTGAACTCAGGCCCTTGCTTGCTAGGCAAACACGCTTCCAGTCAGCTAAACCCCAGCCCTCCCCTCAATGACTGCCTTCTTAGGGTACATTTCCAATTCAGGATTCATTTAATAAACCCGTTCATCGCCAGTTCCTCTGGGAGGTGTGAGGGACACAGAATGGGACATGGACACTTTGCTTTTAGTTCCTCCTACCCACCTACTCCCGACCCCTGCTTCCCATTTCTCCTCTTTCTTCTTGCGTATGGGGCCAGAGATCAGCCCTCCTCTGGGAGATTAAATGTCAGGAAAACCCCAGAAAGTATACTTGTGTAAGGAGTGTGTGTGTGTGTGTGTGTGTGTGTGTGTGTGTGTGTGTGTGTGTGTGTATGTATGTATGTATGTATGTATGTGTGAGCAACAAGCACTGCTCTTAACCACAGGGCCAATTCTCTAGCCTCCTTGTATAAGGGCTTTTATGATGGTTTCCTGTTCGAAGGTCCCTCTTGCAGACCCTTAGAGTGACTTTCTTAGACCCCAGCCCAGGTGTGCTCTGGTGTGTCCCTTCTCAAGAGGCATTTCTGAATGTGAAGTCTCAGATGCCACTTCTAGGTGTTAAAAAAGGAAAGACTGGCAAGGTGTGTTTTTAGAAACTGTGGTGTGTTTTAAGTTCCTGTGTTTAATCCCTTAATGCTTTTAACAGAAACAATGTAACACCATGTATATTGTGGTGATCTTATGATAATGACAGGATTTATTTTTTAAATGTTAATTTGTGCTTCCCAGTGGGCTACAGAGCAATAACAGAAGAGACTAACTCATTTTTCCATCACGGATTTAAGCCTTATTTTCAGGGGAGGGTAAAAATCTAATAGATTTCAGGCCAGTGGTCCTATGGGTCCACAAATAATGGCTCCCTGTAGCTCTGCCCTTGGACACAGCCCTTGGGCCTTTATCCTTCCCACAAGGAGCATTATTCTCAGTCCCAAATGCAGATTACCATTCTAGATCATACTCCTGGTGTCTAGGGCACCAGAGTCATCTGTCCAATGCCCCAGACCAGTCTCAAGACCCATGGGGACTTCATGCCTGGCTTTGGCCTCTCAAGTGGATTAAGTCACCAATACTCATATCTAGACTCAAAGGGGACCATTTAGGGAATGACTATGCCCAAATATACAGGCTAGAGGTGGGAAGAGACGGGAGCAGGCAGTCTAGAAGCCAACACTACGTGTGTCTCAGTGCCTAGTATGGCATTCATGAGGCATGGTCCTGTATTTATACTCTTGTCTCAACTCCCATAAGATGTTAGGGATGGCCCCCCACGAGGAGGTCAGGGCCTGAACAAGACAGACCAGAAAGCGGTGTCATCCCTAATACGAGAATTGAAATGAGAGTATGAACACAAGTGACTTCACGGACACTTGGCCCTACAGCTGCAAGCTGTCGGCTCTCCCTTGGCTGTGGCCAAGAAGGAGCTCATGAGTGGCCTGGTCCAAAGATGGAAGGCCACTTAACACAGGGATGTAATGGAGAAAAGATACAGCCCTTGGCGGGAGTCCCCTCTGAAACCTCCGTTGGAGACTAATCCTGAATCGTCTTCACTGCATGATGAAGGAAAAGGGCAGTTGTTACCTCTTTCACAACCCGAGAGAAAAACCTCGTTGTCATTTTGGCAGCAGTTAGACCAGAGCCTGCTGCCTCCCACCTTGGGAACTAGAGAGTGCTTGTTAAGCAATCCGCCACTTTGGTGTCTTGCCATGACCGCACAGAACGCCCCTGTTCCCTATTCCATCAGATCTCCAGCTTGCTGATCTGGTCTCTCTACTTCCCCCCCCCCCCGCCCCCCGCAGGGGTGGAAGGGCCGAACCCTTTGCTTATACTGGCGTATTAGACTGTGCACACTTTTAAGTAATATTACTTTGCACAACTCTCTTCTTTCCCGCCTGACTCGTCTCCATCTCCTCCCTTGAGTGTTTCCTTCCCCTTTACCCTTCCATCTGCCTCTTATCATAGCTTTCATGTTCTCAAGGCACTGACTTGGAATCCTGTCAAAGAAGAGGGGACATCCTAAAGACATCTGGGGCAGAGGGAAACCTGTCAGGTAGCTGTTTGAAGTGTTAAATGTCAGCAACAAACTCCCATGGAGACATTATCTTCAAGCAGACACTGGAGATCATGTGGATCAGCTAGGGTGTTGAGGCTGCTGCCCAGAGTCAGAATTATGTTGCAACTTCCAGCATACACCTGCATGTCCATGGCTCAGGACCCAACATGGGGTGTGGGGACAGAGAGTTCATGGCAGTGTAGTCGCCTAGCCTTTGTCCTTTGAGTAGCATCCTACCAGGCGACCTTCTTGATGATCATTACTTCCTGGGATCCATGGAACCTCTCATCCAGCCGTATGGGTCATCACACATAGGCATGGTGGTACCCCACAGATGGTGGCTGCCCCACTCCTGAGTAAATCTCCTTGGTCTCCTCAGGTGTGGGCTTTCACATACACTCAGCAGATCATCCAGGAAGAGCTGTGCCTATCTGTTGTCACCCTGTTCCCTGGTGCCCCGGTGGTTCTTGTTCTGTGCAAGAATGGGGATGAAAGGCAGGTGAGTGCTCCGCAGGCCCTGGGGTAGGGTAGGATTGGGAGTGGTCAACCTCCATAATGTGACTGGGGTGGGTGGAAGTCTTCTCCAGTCAGGAGGAGATAGGGCATGTTGAAAGGGGAAGGGTGAATAAGCATGAAAAGCTTCCAGTCAGAGTCAGGGATAGGACTCCTCAATGGTGTCAGCAGTAAAGGCTACGTTGGTCCCACTGGTCAGTGAAGAGCTGAAAGCCTGCAGACTTTAGCTAATCTTACCAGGCCCGACCACCCTGTATGTTTCTGTCCCTGCTCCGTCACCTACCTGGACTCTTCGATGAGAGCCAGGGCCATAGGTGTGAATGCCACTCCACCCTTGGCCCTCAATGCTTTGTGAGTTGTATCCTAGATGCACACTGTCCCTCTAGCAGTGTAGACTAGGAATGTGGCACACGTGGATCACTGTATCCATCTGAGATTTCCTCTTCCTCTTCTCCAAATGGGGGCTGATAGAACCTAAAGGAAGTGTGGGGAACAAGCACTGTAATGGTCTCTATGAAGTACTGAGCTCAGTGTCTAGTCAGGGTATGCGTCCATCCCTCTATCCTTGCCACATATGAGGGGGCCAAGGGAAACTGCCTGAGCCCCACCTCTCCAGGGGCTCCTGGTACAGAGTTTGAAGAAGTCTACTGCTGTCACCTCCACTGGCCCCATCTTCTCTTTGTCTCACTTCTTCCTAAAGGAAGACATGGAACATGGCTTTTTGGTTTTGTTTTGTTTTTTTCTGTCTGCTCCTGTGTCTAACTCGGTTCACATTTTCTACCCTGTCGCCTGGAAAGTTATTGCCTCCCGATGAGTTTTCCTAGCAAACACTGATTTAACTTTTAACATTTTTTTTAAAAACTCATTTTTAAAAGACTAGAACTGGAGGGATGGCTCATGGGTAAAAGTACTTGCAACAGTACCAGGCCTGCCCATCTGAGTTTAATCCCTGGAGATACATGTAGTGGAAAGAGAAAAGCAACTCTGATAAGTTGTATTCTGGCCTACACACACACACACACACACACACTCTCTCTCTCTCTCTCTCTCTCTCACACACACACACACACACACACACACACACACACACACACAAAGTAAATAAATACAAATTTAAATGTAATAAAAAATAAAACCCTACTGCCTGTCAGAATAATTTCTTCCTTCATGAGACCATGAAATCACATCTCTGGCTGACCACATGGGGTGTCATCCCTTCTGATAATGCCTGGGTGACTTATATTATCCATAGAGCCCATGGCCTTGGTCGGAAAAAGTGAGCTCATGTTCTCTCCCCTCTGTCTCCTCAGCAATGGACGAAGACAGGCGCTCGCATTGAGCACATAGCATCCCACCTCTGCCTGGACACAGACATGTTCGGTGACAGCGCCGAGGACGGCAAAGAGGTCGTGGTCAACCCTTGTGAGTCCTCACTCATGAGCCAGCACTGGGACATTGTGAGCTCGTGAGGACCCTGGGCGGAGCCAGCTGTGGATCAGGGACGGTGCTTCCCTGGACCAAGGCAAACTGGAACCCAGGCTGTGAACAGCCCACGTCTGCACCAGATGCCCTCGACTGGAGGTAGCGCAAAGGCCCCCAGGAGAGGAGCAACTGCCTCAGGGAAGGAGGAGGAAAAGGTGGCAAACCAGCAGGGCCCAACAACACCCACATGTGTGCAATATTGGACAGGTCCATCCTGGCCAGGTTTTCCGAATGGGACCTGGAGATGGAGAGCCGATGGGAAGCGTTTGTTGTGCCCTCTCTTACGAAACAAGGCGCTTTATGGAGGCCGGAGAGAAAGGCTCTCCTTGTTGCTGCGCCAGGACTGCATGGAGAGATGAAGACTGGAGATGGTTTTCAGAACAAATAAAGATAACATTGGAAGTTTTCCTTTGATAACTCCTGCTGCTTCTTCAGCTAGCTAGCACCTAAGCCGAGCTCCCCACTGAATCAGGGCCGGGGCATCTTTGTGTCAGAATGGATGAAGAAGACAGGAAGGTGGGAACCTTGTGCCCTTATCCTAGGTTACTGCCAACCAGCTATCTGATCGTAAAAAGACACTTTCGGAGGCCGGCAAGATGGCTCAGTGAGGAAAGGGGCCATCAAGCCTGATGACCTGAGTTTGGTCTCTCAGGCCCACGTGGTGGAAGGAGAGAACTGACTCTTACAAATTATCTTTTGACCTACACACACACACACACACACACACACACAGAGAGAGAGAGAGAGAGAGAGAGAGAGAGAGAGAGAGAGAGAGAGAGAGAGAGAGAGAGAGAGAGAGAGGCATGCAGGTCCACACTCATAGTACTACACACAAAACAAGTAAATGCTATCATTTTTAAGACACTTCAGAGCTGGGAGATGGGCATATTTTGTAAAGTGCTTGCCTTGAAAACATGAGTTTCAACCTCAAAACCTACGTTAAAAAAAAAAGATGAGTATGGCACACACTTGTAATTCCGGAACTAGAGGGGCAGAATTGGGTAAATTTCTGGGGCTTCTTAGCCAGCCAGCCAGCTAGCCAGTTTAATCTACTTGGCAAGTTCCAGGCGAGTGAGAGACCCTGTCTCAAAAAAAAAAAAAAGAAAGAAAAAAGAAAAACGTGATGGATAGTACCTGAGGGAAAACATCTAAGATTGACTTTTAATCTCCACTTACATGTGTACACACATGCTCATGCTAGCCTGCATTCACAAACATGTAACACACACACACACACACACACACACACACACACACACACACACACACACACACACGGCACTTCACTTTTTTGGCCTACCACTTTCTATTACATTACCATGATGGGACCACATGAGTGGTAGTGACTCCAGAAGGCTCTAGATTCCTATGGAGATCCTAATTTGGCAGATCTCATATGGAGTTCAATCCCCTTGGCTAATTCTGAGGCCTCTGCTTACTTAAAGCACTGCCATAGAATGTCTGTCCAGGAAGAGCCTCATAGCCTATAGCCCTTAGTATAGGAACTTCCTACTGTAATAAAACCATGTTTTAGTGTCTTCTGGGATTGGTTAGAGTAGCTGTCATAGATAGGGTTCCTATGACCATGGCAACTCTTATAAAGGGAAAACATTTCATTGGGCTGGCTTACAGTTTCAGAGGTTTAGTCTATGATCATCATGGTGGGACATGGCAGTGTGCAGGGAGACATGGTGCCAGAGAAGGAGCTGAGAGTGGAGAAGGAGCTACATCGTGATCCTGCAGGCAACAGAAAGTGGCCTGCCGGGCGGTGGTGGTGCATGCCTTTAATGCCAGCACTCGGGAGGCAGAGCCAGGCGGATCTCTGTGAGTTCGAGGCCAGCCTGGGCTACCAAGTGAGTTCCAGGAAAAGGCGCAAAGCTACACAGAGAAACCCTGTCTTGAAAAACCAAAAAAAAAAGAAAGAAAGAAAGTGGTCTGGCACACTGCACATGGCTTGAGCATATATGAGTCCTCAAAGCCCACTCCCACAGTGACACACTTCCTCCAACAAGGCCACACCTACTCCAACAAAGCTGCATCTCCGAGTAGCACCACTCCCTATGAGCTTTGGGGGGCCAACTACATTCAAACTACCACACTATCCATTCTTATTAACTAGGTCTTAAGAAACAAGCCATGTTAAGTTGAAGTTTCTAAGAGACACCCACCCACATGCTGCTAGTAACTGTCTGTTAGCTGTTGCTGTGTAACAAATGACCCCCAAACTTGACAGCTTATGGTAACACACATTTACTGTCTCACAGTTTGTATGGGCCCAGCCTTTTCCATCTGGAGTCTTATTAGGCTATGGTGGAGGTGTTAGCTGGAGCTGCCATCAGTTCCATGGGCTCACATAACTCTCGGTGGTGGGTTTTAGCCCTGCCTCTCCCTCCAATATAGCAGCTCACTCTGCAGCAAACTGGGAGTGGAGTGGGAAGGTGGGATACCAGCAAGATGGGAATTCTATACCTTTGCAACCAAATAACTCAAGCTTACCCCCATCATTTGTTCTACACTGCATTTGACAGAAGCAGTCACCAGGTACAGTCCCTACTCAAGGGGAGGCCAATCAGGAGAGTGAAGGACAAGAGGTCATCAGATCCACTCAAATCCACCTACCCCAGTGATTGTTGGAGCCTAAGAAGGTATTATCCATTCTCCTTCGCCAAGGAAATCCTTTGATGATGGGATGTTATCAAGCTCCTTATATACTCTGCTACTGCAGATTGCTGTAGCCTCGGAAACTTGAGAGTTGGCATGCCCAGACTAGATGTCTCTTCTGGAGGTTGAATTTGTGTATGCCATCGTATCACCTGCTCTAGTTAGGACTAGGCCCTATTCTGGGCCGAAGAAGAGGGAGTAGAGAATTGAAGCTGTTCCATTTATAGAAGATATGCTGAGGCTCCTTAAGCTGTGTGCCCATATGGCTTAAAGCAGCTTTGCAGAGAGGAAAGACAGAAGGAATGGTTACCCGTAACCAGACCAGACCCCTAAGTAGGTGAGGCAGTCACTGTACTAGGCTAACTAAACTAGAGTCTGGGGTTGTCCTTTGCCTACTTGTCACCCCTGTATTTGTGACTGTCTTTGAGTTCTCTGGTGGCAACAAAAGTGTCTCTTGCTCTTCTTTAACCACAGTGCTGGGATAGGCATACCAAGTACTCAGTAGGCATTTTCATAGGGAGAGAGTTGAGGAATCATTCCTTGTTCATGATAGAGTGAGTTTAAGTATGGATGACTACTGCCATACAATTACAGAGTATAGGCGGGCTTGCATTTCTCTGCTAGCTAGAGGACTTGGGGAGAGAAGCCCTAGTGGCAATTACTTATGCTCTAGGGCCGCTTGCTCATCTTCTTTTCTCATGGCAGAAAAACGAGCACTTAGCTTTCTCCTGGCATCCCTCTTACCAGCAAAGCAACTTGGAAATGGCAGTGAAGAGTCAGGATGAAGGATATGGAAAGTAACCTGCTAATGGAATACAGGCAGCTCTGCTGTGAACTGCATGCAGGGTATCTTCCTTAAGGTCCCATTAGTGGGAAATGGAGGCTAACCATTGATGATGCAGATAGGAATCACTCCAACTGTGTGGGGTAGCTGAAGTGCTCTCCATTATTCTCGGGCTGCTGCAGACAGAGAGCTGCGATTTAAAAGTAAGCAGGGCAGCCATGGTGAGTGTCCATAAATCCAAAACAAGGCTGACGTCTCAGAGATGGCCATGGCCTACACATAACACAGCAGAGTGAATATGGCCAGGCAGTTGTGTGGATGTTATCACTGGGTTTGAATGGCAAACTCCAGTAGCCTGAAGTAGCTTACTTAGTAGGCAATCGGGAGCTATGACTGAAAATGTGTCAAATGATGTCATCCTATGAGAACAGGGAAGAGCTCTTGAGGATCTTGAGGTCTCACAAGATTCAGACTCCAAACAGTGCTTGGAAAATACCTTCCCTGGAGCAGCCTGACCACACTATCAGGTGAGGAGGCAGCAGAAGTCCCATCCCTCATGGTCACATCTGGTGAATGGAAGAATATGGGCTACTTTCAGAATTTATTAATAGGCTATGCATATTAAACAAAAATATATAAAGATAGGTTATATGTGACTGGGTATTTATGCCACTGGCCCTCCATAGCTACAAGCTCTGCATCCATGAATCCAACCAAACACAGACTAAAGCCACATGGGAAGAAATGCATCTGTAATGAGTTGTGTGTGTTGTTTTTTCATTATTCCCTAAACCACATAGTATAAAAACCACTTTCATATCCTTTACATTATAATAGATCACTTAACTAACAAAAAAATGATTTAAAGTATACAAGAGAATGTGCATCAGTTAGATGCAAAGATGGAGTAGGGAAATAGTGAATCATAAGCATGTTTGTTGTGAAAGCATGAAGACCTGAGTTCAAATCCCCAGAACCACATTAAAAAAAAAACAAAAAAAAAAACAAGTGGCCATGTGCAACTGTAACCCTAGCACTGTGGGTCTGTGGTGAAGACAGGAGTCTTTCTGGAGACTTCTGGCTACTAGCACAGTTCAGGTTCAGTGTGAGGCCCTTTTTCAAGGCAATAAGGCAGAGTGATAGAGCATTACACCCAGTGCCCTCCTCTGGCCTCTGCACATGAATGGGTGTAAAAAACCTTCACATACATGTGCACCTGTATTATACACATGCACACGCGCATACACACACACACACACACACACACACACACACACACAAATGAAATAAATATAAGCACAGTACTATTTTATATGGTTAACTTTAGCATCCACACAGTAGGTGTCCACAGGGAAGAGGTATTGCTGGAACCCACGTCCTATTAAGGGACCACTATGCAGTCTCATGAAGTTAGAAAAAGGAGAAGCAGGGGTTTTGGACACTCTGGGGTCTCATTTAGAGTTGGGGGCAGAATAGTATTGAATGAATAGGAAAATGGGAGGTTTTAGGGCTGGGTTCTGCATGGATGGTGGAGCCTGGTGCTGCATTGAATCTGAGACTTCCTTTCCTGGCAGTTTGTTTCTCTTTGTGCTTTATAACTTCCCCCTGTGAGCTCATCTTCAGTGAGAGTTTTTTCCTCTGGGCATCTTAGATACTCTGGTTATAGAGGCATGCCTCGGGGGAGGTTTAAGCTTGCCTCTGCTAGGATCCCATTGGGTTGCTTTGATTTCAAGCCAATTTATGAATTGATTTTTCTGTGAATGGTTTTCACACTGTGAGAAGGGAATCTGGAGCCCAGCTCTCTTGCTTGGCGCAATCTTAGATTCTGATCATTTATAGATTGCTTTTCTAGACGTTGCTTTGGTCATGTCTCCTGGGTGTTGCTGTTCACCCAGCCACATGGATAGCCCATGTTTAGCCCCTGCTACCCATGAGGCTGTAGGTCTCCTGTCTGTCTCTGCCTGCACATAAAGCCCAGCATTAGTGACACAAATGTGTTGGATCCCTCTCCCCACCCATGCATTTTTGGAACTTGGATGCACAGCTGTGGTTTCAAATGGTCTTATCCAATATTTATGTATGTATGTGGTCGGGGGCTTCCTGTGTTGGCTCAGACCAGAATTCCTTAGTGCTGTAATTAGCTGTCACCACTGTCTTCCCCACTGGCTGGGGGAACCTTATCTTATTGCAGACACTCAATAAATTTCCATGAATGAGTGAGAGAATGCGTCTGTGATTCTTTAGCACCACTTCCTAATTACCTCCTGGCTAGTTATCAGACGTTTGAGTTTCTAAAAGACAGCCAAGGCAGAAATTGAAGACAGAGAAGACAAATTTATAACAATAAAATCTTGTTATAATACACATAGATTTGGGGATCGTGCATATTTAGCTTCATAATGACAGAGTTTAATACTGAGCATGCTAACTGGAAAGAACTATCAGGGATGAACATCTTTAATGCTGCAGTGGAGCCCGGCCAGAGTGAATTTGTTCTCAGAAACTCAGGGGGATGGTGATGGAGGGCTGGGCAGGAGCCCTTGTATTTCATCAGCAAGCATCTCAGGCGTGTCTACTGGCATCTGACAAGATGAGCCCTAGCCTCTGGAGAGAAGCTAGCCCTGTGTCTGTGGTCCTTTTAAATGACCCACAGAGGAATGCCCTGCTTCTCCCGTGCCGCCCACTGAGCATTCCTGCCCCAACCAACCGCTCCATCCTTTCAGCACCTGGGACAGCGTCTGGCATGCGGGCTTTGGGGGTGGGAGGACTAAGGGAGTTCTAGCAGCTGTGCAGATGTCCCCCACGTGGCAGGTGGAAGCCCGCTGGCCCCTGCCATGCAGAGCCAATCCTCTGAGCTCCCTCATGGGCTACAGTCTCTGGCAGCCCAACGCGGATTAGCCAACTCTGAAGCTCTGAGCGCTTTTCCATTTGCCGTGGAGTCGACTAATTTAATGAAGCCGTCACAGTGCAAACCTCGGGGCTTATTGGAAAAGGACTCGAGCACGACATTATTTCACAGCAGTAGATTGCATCATTTTCATTTCACAGCTTTCCAATGGGAAATAATAAAACAAAATTACAAACATAATGAAGAAAAAGAAAGGAGAGAAAAATCCATGAGTGAGAGGAGTGCCCTCTGTTCCGTGATGGGGCTGCTTCGCTCATTCACTCGGGCCAGTAAATATCACCTGGTTTCACTCTGCAGGGAAGAATATCCCGGGATGCCTGCACCTGCTGCTGGAGATAAGAGGCTATAATAACTCACTGTCCAGGAACACCGAGAAGCCTTGAGCACTCCAGGTACCCCTCCTGAGAAATCCCAGCTTCCAAGAGCAAAGCTCACCCCGGGGCTAGTCAAGACACCCGGGTAAAGGGTTGCCACTGGTAAGGCAGGGTGAATTCATGGGGTATGGGTATGCACGGCACCACCACCTCCCAGAAGACAAAGCTATTTCGCCAGTGATGCTTTACCTATCCTAGATGGAAGAAGTAGGTCCCTGCCCTCATCCATCCTGCAGGATGCTTTCATTGTGACCACAGGTGATCTGACAGCCAGAGGCTAAATGGCAGTCAGCAGAGGGACAAAGCTCTTTCCAAAAGCTGTTCTCATTAATTGCACTGAGGTGTACAGATGCAGGGAGGCCACTGAGCTCTGCCAGGCCTTTTATTCTCCTCTGCGTGCCTGCCCTTCAGTCAAGGAGATGCTCCTGGGCTGCCCCCCAGCTTGGAGACTAGACTTCTCCATTGCAGTCAGACCCCAGATTCCCCACCCCACCCCTGCCTCTTACTGAAAACAAATTCGTACTCCAAGAGTGGGGGATGAGGGGTGGAACCATCTGGAATGACTTTCTTTTACCCAGGAGTCCCCTTCAAGGCTGCCACTGACCCCTTCCTCCCCTCCTCATCTTGCAGGTCACCTCCTCCCTTCTGAGTGGCATCCCAATGTCTCCCATCTCGACTCACACTAGCATCTCCACTTTTGCGTTGGTCAACCTGCATCTCCAAAGCACAGGGGTCAAAGGCCAGCACCCTCTCAGTACTCATGTGGACTGAGAACACATGACTTCAGTTTCTCTGATCTCAGCTATCTCCTCTGTACAGGGGTCAACGTCATAGCTGCCTCCTAATTCCATTTTGGCATTAGATACAGTGATTCATACAAAGTTCTCAGCACAGAGCTAGGTACACAGTAGGTCCTGCACTTCATTAGGTCATCGTGACAGTTCACTAGAGCAGAGGGCAGGGTCTGCATGTTTTGAGGGCTGATCTCTTTAGTCTTTTTGGGGTGCTGTATCAAAAAAGTGAATGGTTACAACCATGAACATTTATTTCCCACAGTGCTTGAAGCTGAGGAGTCCATAGTCAAGGTACCAGCAAATGTGGTGTCAGGTGAGGTCCATTCTCTGGTTTATGGACAATAGCCATGTGTAGTCTTGCTTAGTAAAGAGCTCTCTGGAGTCCCTGTTATATGGGTACTAACTCCACTCATGAAGGCTCCGCACTCATGACCCAGCCACGTCCCAAAGGCCCCATCCCAATATCCTCATAACTGGGAGTTGGGATTTCACCACCTGAGTTTGGAGTATACATACGCATTGAGACCATTCTAACCCTCCATCCTCAGTGGCCTCTTAAATATTAGGCTATGGCCAGAGAATCCCCTGTAGGATTTCACAAGGCATAGGGTCGAGAAGAAGGTTTTAACCCAGTAAGGCAGAAAACAGAAAAGAACAATGAAGTTCTCTGAGGAAAACATGTCTCCACTCAGTTTTTCGCTGCACGGGGTCTCTGCCATTTCTCCGTCTGGTATGTCTTTATCCTTCTTGTCCCTTCCCTGCCTGTACACATGAATCAGGACTCTGTCTTGTCTGTGCTGAGCCCTGAGAGGAGGTGATATGAGGTGGTACATGGTATCAATGGGTGTTACAGGAGAAGAGGATGAAAATGGGCACAGAACCCATGCTATGAGTTCAAGGCCAGCCTGCACTGCAGAGTCATTCCCATCCTAAAGAAACTTCTGGTCTACCTTGTGAATCCAACTCCCATGCCTTAATTCTGCCTCTCTCTGCTCCTCTCCTGCCTGAAGAGGATTGCACCTGCATAACTGTCAATCTGGAGTGGCCCCCACCAGGTCTGTTCAAACCACAGCCCAAGGAATGCCTGTGGCCCAGGACACTGGTCAATGTAGCCCAAGATAAAACCACAAAGTTATTTAAAATGTTATAAGATCGGGAGTGGTAGTGCTAATAACCTGGTTGTGTGGATCTCAAAGTTGAGTGATGTCAGACACCTGCTTTGGCAGGGGAGTTCAGGTCCCAAAGAGGAGGTGTGGAGTCGGCGGGGGGAGAGAAGGAGGAGACATGATCTGAGAGTGAATTTGGGATGCCTGCCAGTAGGGTTTAATTGAAAAAAGACTACACCTTTTATACTCTGTAGTTGGACATAGGATTAAATGGGAGACAAGGGGCATGTGAGCTGGGGTATGGCTTGAGGAATCTGCATTGACCTTGACAATAGGAACCAGTCATATGTAATGGAAGGGTCAAAAGTTCCTCTTGATAGAGATAAGAAGAATGACTGCATTATCAAGCAGGACCTTTCCTTATGCCCCCAGGGAAGGGAGACCCTTATCCAAATGCCTGACCCTGGGGAAGGACTTCTGGGGAGCAGACACCATACTACAGTTTCTTAGTCTTACTATATGGGCCTGTTCCCCTCATAACGCTCCCAAAAGGGAAGGTCCTGATGTCTTACTCTTTTCCCATTATTTTGTACCATTTTGATTTCTTTGTATTTAGTAACTGAACTCTTGCCCTTAATGGCCTCACGCTCTTAGATTTGAATTGCAGGCATTTCATTCTTGGGATCGGGTGTGTCTAGTAAATCTCTAACTTTCCTGTTCTTGGTGTATTTAGGAGGGCATAATGAATTTCCTGGTTCCACAGTGGCAGGGATTTTTTTCCAAAGAATTATTTTGTTTAGAGAGGCTACCATTGTACATATTTTTAACTTTTACCAAAGCCCACACAAAATTTCCCAAGGGGGAAAGGCATTAATATTGAGAATCATTAAAAAATGAAAGTAAAAAGGTACTGGAGAAGTATGGGCTGCAATACTGAAATGCTGGAACTTTTTCAAGCAACAATGGTCGCCATGCGGTCCACACCAGAGTGAACTTTGTAATGACGTCATATTACAGTATCAGTATCAAAACCAGACACTCCAACAGGTTAAAAGTTGCCATAATATAGTGTCCAGATTGAGGAGTGTCCTAAGCAGCTCCCAATGTCCTAAGCTTCCACCAGCTTCCAGAAAGGGTCACATGAATGGGGGCAGGTCTTACCAGACAGAGCACAAGCCCTGAACCCACTGGTGCTCTATAGAATGTCCAGTCCTGAGCCAGGGAAGAATCAGAGCAGCTGATGCAGAATGCTGACCACAGAAGAGATTCAAAGAGCTCTAAGGCACAAAGCAAGAAAAGAAGTCACCAGAGGACCTCAAAGCATATCTGTGATGTCACGAAGACAGAGAGTGGGTCTCGATTCATGTGGCAGGAACAGTGTAAGTACAGGCTCAGAGAAAGTGAAGCAGTGAGACATGGGGAAGAAAGGGCACCAGGTACACCCAGACAGGCCGCTTTGAATACCAGAACTCAGACTGGTAAGAAGCTGGGAGCTATTGAAGTTTCCCGAGCAGGGGAGTATTATTGACTAGAGCGTAAGAGCATTGACTTGGCAGAAGTAGCATGGTTTGAAGTGAAGAGTCTGTGAAACCAGGATTTGGTCAAAGTTTCGGAAACTTCGTGAGTGTTGTTCAAATCTTAGAATGGTCTTATAATAAAAAAACCCGGAGCCAGATATTGGGTGATATATTGTGTACCCTAATAACGCTTGTCTGAGGATCAGAGGACAGAGCCAGCCACTAGATTAGACACAGAGGCCAGAGAGTGGTGGCACACATCCTTAATCCTATCACTTGGGAGGCAGAGATCCCTCTCGATCTCTGTGAGTTCAAGGCCATACTGGAAACAGAGCCAGGCAGGGATGGCACACACCTTTAATCCCAGCACAGGGAAGCACACAGGCCTTTAATCCCAGGAAGTGAGATCAGGACAGAGAAAGGTATATAAGGTGTGAGGAAACAGGAACTAAGGCAATTCAGCTGAGACCCTTTCAGGTGAAGACTCAGAGGATTTCATAGGTGGTGGCTATGGCCTG